TTTGAAACTACTGTTCTGATTACTATTATCATTTTTTTCTAATACAACCAGTGCTATGATCATTTTTTGCTATTATAGCTAGTATCGTTACTATTGCTATTGTTATTCTTAAAATTTCTGTTCTAGGTGTTATTGTTATTATAATTATTATTGGTTATTAAATATTTTATTGTAAATAGTACTTTTTTTGTTCTATTATAGCATAGTTAGTATCATTACTATTACTAATATAGTATTATCATTTGTATCATCACTCGTAGTTATATTATTATTATTGTAATTACTAATATTACTATTATACCTAGTGTTATTATTATTGTTGTAATTGTGATCATTCTTGTTTCTATATTATCTAGCATTATTACTAGTACTAATATATCATTATTTTTCGTATCATCACTAGTACTTATATTATTATTATTGTAATTCCTAATATTGCTATTATAACCAGTTTTATTACTATTTTTATTATTATGACCATTCTTGTTTCTATGTTATCTAGTATTATCGCTATTAAAGTTCGGCTATTCACTCCTCGACCACAGAGAGTGCATGTATGTACACCCACGTACACCCTATTGTATTCATAACACAGACAAGATGAATCATACGCATCAATCTGTTTTATAGGGTCTTGGGGTTTTACTGACATATAACCCTTACCTTTCAACACCCCATTTGTGCACACACAGAAACGCATGGCAGCTGCCGAGGCACACGCCGCCGCCCGGGCCAAAGCCAACGCTCTCTTGGACCACGGCGAGTACATGTTTGTACCAGAACACATAGCACACAACTACGCTTTAGTAACCTTTGACTGTAAAGTGGGGAAGAAGACCGAGAAGGTCAGTGTAGCCATGGGGAGTGACGGTGTCAGCTGGCACGGTCCGTGTGTGAGCAAGAAGGAAGCCTACGAGTATGTGGCCTTGTTGGCGCTTAAGCGGACGTTTGCGGATTTGCCACAGCTTCATATGACCATGCACAAGATCTTCCAGGACCTTTGGCGGCTGTGGGATGCCCTGGGGGAACGGAAGATACGACAGGCAATCAAGCAGGAGGCAGAGCGAAGGGACACGCATGTGAGAGATATCATGGAGAAGGTAGGTATGGGGGGAGGAATATATATATATATATATATATATGTGTGTGTGTATAT